ATGCAGTCATGCACAGTATACAGTCATGCATAGTATACAGTCATGCACAGTATGCAGTCATGCACAGTACACAGTCATGCACAGTATACAGTCATGCACAGTATACAGTCATGCACAGTATACAGTCATGCACAGTATACAGTGATGTACAGTATACAGTGATACCCAGTATACAGTAGGGGTTAAATTACATATTTTTAACATGATAAAAGTCGAGTCGATCCCGACCAGTCATTGATGTCATAGGAACTCAAGACGCTATTTTATTTTTGCAATAAACATATTAGCAAAAAACGTAATTTGTTATTTACAATAAAAAAGAACAACATAAAATTGGTCGTATTTTCATGCTCCTACCATTTATCATATTTCAAATAAGTCAAAGGAAAAGCAAAACTATTATCAAGCTGCAAAAATGAAAGAAATGTGCGGCTGTAAAAAATAAGGCTAAGCAGAGTGGACGGTGATGGAGTCCACCATCGCCTGCTCTGCTGTGCTTTGTTTTATTTTATTTAATCCACCACGTGGATTGGGTGGAATAGGGTTGGTAACAGCATGGTGGTGGTGTGACTAGTCCACGTGAAATATCAAAACCTTTGAGATGTCCCAGAGTTGACTAGTCGATTAATCAATTAGTCTATTCAACCCGTAGTCTGTGGTTTAAAGAAAAGTCGGTAAAGAAGGTAAAAATCCATCTTAATATAGCCGGCTGTGTTGTCAGATTAGATTTTATGAATTACAGTGGATTACAAAGACTCGGTGTTTCTCTGGTCCAAAGTTTGTTCTGCTTGTTAGACTTGACTGGACCCACTGAGGTCGCTGTAAGCTGTGATGTGTCACTCACACAGGAGCAGTCTGAGCAACGTTAGGCTGCATTATAATTAATTATATTTACACTTGATATGAATGTTACGTCCACAGTTGAACTGCTTGGAGAACAGTTCATGGTCGTCACTGTAAAGTTTTTAGGGCATAGCACTTTAACTTACAAACCAGATTCCAAAAAAGTTGGGACACTAAACAAATTGTGAATAAAAACTGAATGCAATGATGTGGAGATGACAAATGTCAATATTTTATTTGTAATATAACATAGATGACAGATCAAAAGTTTAATCTGAGTAAATGTAACATTTTAAAGGAAAAATATGTTGATTCAAAATTTCACAGTGTCAACAAATCCCAAAAAAGTTGGGACAAGTAGCAATAAGTGGCTGTAAAAAGGAAATTGAGCATATAACTAACAGCTGGAAGACCAATTAACACTAATTAGGTCAATTGACAACATGATTGGGTATAAAAAGAGCTTCTCAGAGTGTCAGTGTCTCTCAGAAGCCAAGATGGTAAGAGGATCACCAATTCCACCATTGTTGCGCAGAAAGATAGTGCAGCAATACCAGAATGGTGTTACCCAGCGTAAAATTGCAAAGACTTTTAAGTTATCATCAACCGTGCATAACATCATCAAAAGATTCAGAGAATCTGGAACAATCGCTGTGCGTAAGGGTCAAGGCCGTAAAACTCTACTGGATGCTCGTGATCTCCGGGCCCTTAAACGTCACTGCACCTCAAACAGGAATGCCACTGTCAAGGAAATAACAGAATGGGCTCAGGAATACTTCCAGAAAGCATTGTCAGTGAACATAATCCTCCGTGCCATCCGCCGTTGCCAGCTGAAACTCTACAGTGCAAAGAGGAAGCCATTTCTAAGCAAGCTCCACAAGCTCAGACGTTTGCACTGGACCAGGGGTCATTTAAAATGGAGTGTGGCAAAATGGAAGACTGTTCTGTGGTCAGATGAGTCACGATTTGAAGTTCTTTATGGAACACTGGGACGCCATGTCATCCGGACCAGAGAGGACAAGGATAGCCCAAGTTGTTATCAACGCTCCGTTCAGAAGCCTGCATCACTGATGGTATGGGGTTGCATGAGCGCTTGTGGCATGGGCAGCTTGCATGTCTGGAAAGGCACCATTAATGCAGAGAACTATGTTCAGGTTCTAGAACAGCATATGCTCCCATCTAGACGTCATCTCTTTCAGGGAAGACCCTGCATTTTTCAACACGATAATGCCAGACCACATTCTGCAGCAATCACAACATCATGGCTACATAGGAGAAGGATCCGGGTACTGAAATGGCCAGTCTGCAGTCCAGATCTTTCACCTATAGAGAACATTTGGCGCATCATAAAGAGGAAGGTGCGACAAAGAAGGCCCAAGACGATTGAACAGTTAGAGGCCTGTATTAGACATGAATGGGAGAGCATTCCTGTTTCTAAACTGAGAAACTGGTCTCCTCTGTCCCCAGACGTCTGTTGAGTGTTGTAAGAAGAAGGGGGGATGCCACACAGTGGTAAAAATGGACTTGTCCCAACTTTTTTGGGATTTGTTGATGCCATGAAATTTGGAAACAACATATTTTTCCCTTAAAATGATACATTCTCTCAGTTTAAACTTTTGATCTGTGATTTGTGTTCTATTCTGAATAAAATATTAGATGTTGGCACATCCACATCATTGCATTCAGTTTTTATTCACAATTTGTTTAGTGTCCCAACTTTTTTGGAATCCAGTTTGTATATGACAATGAAAAGTGTTAAATGTTATTTATTAGCATTAGTCACCTGCGATGCTGTCTCACTTGTGGAGACTTGTTCCAGGTTCCTAGCTACAGTGTGGGATCCTCTTCACTCCTGTGCATGAAGGACAGCCTTTTTAAGATCAAATTTTTTGTCTATCCATTGTGCCGTAAGACTAATCATGCTAACGGGGCTAACACGACATCGAAATGTCTGTGGTAAAACTCACCCAACAAGTCGTATTATCAGATATTAGCTTCTCAATGATGTTGGAAATGTAACGTTGCGTCAGAAAAAAATCTCAGACTGTGGACGATATAGAGGGGCTCAATGCAGTCCATAAATCTTCAGAATCTGACATCCTCACCAACGAAAAATAAAACTTCCACTCCGCCGACATTTTGAATTTTCCTCTCCGCCGTGAGATCAGGTAGGCGCACGTGACGTCATCACGTTGTGCTGCCGCTGCAGGCAAAAACTGTGCCTTTTATATCGGCAAGTTATTTTAATGGAATGTCCGATATTGAAATTTAATGCTAATATCGGACGATACTATTTCGATAATATCATGCATCCCTACTGCAGATGTAAAAGACCTTATAAAATAATTGTAGTTGCATATTATATATGTTTTTCTGTTAAAGCATCTAACTAAGAATGAATTGTTTCAGCTAAGTCTACATGTAGCCTTGATCGTTTTAATTGACTGAACTGAGCCATGACATTGTTGAATATGTTGTGAGAACACATCAGCCCTTCTTCCACGACATTTCAATCATCTGCTATGAACTTTTTAGTTTGTGTAATGAAGAAAGTCTGATGGATTGTCACCAAATGAAGAACGTGAACTGTTAATTTCCTCAAACGATTGAAGGTTTTGGGCTAATCCATGGCACGGGGGAAATCCCCTCAGGGTTACCTTCTTACAGGCAGCGAGCAGACAGACCAAAGCAGCTTACTGCAGCATGAAAACCCATATAAATGCCACAGCACAGGTTTGTCACTCTGTGTGTGTGTGTGTTTGTGTGTGTGTTCAGGCTCTTCCACTGTGCGGTGTCGGTGGTGTTCCAGATGACCATACTGAGGGACTTGGAGAAGCTGGCAGGCTGGGTCCGCATCTCTATCATTTACATCCTTAGTGGAATCACTGGAAACCTCGCCTCGGCCTTGTTCCTGCCATACAGAGCTGAGGTGAGCTCCTGCTGTGCATGAGTTTAGACATGCACACATTTAGCTGATTGTAGTTCTTCTATTTCACTCTAATGAGATGTTTAAAGCCTGAGGACTGCAGCAGGATGAGTACAGCATCATTAAGAGGTCTAATAGACCAAGCAATAATTAGCTGGTGGAACTGGGGCATCAATGAAAGTCTCCTGTTTGTTTTCTCGTCAGCATGTAATGTGAGCTCTGTTGATACCGACACTTCCACCAGTTCAGTCAGCATCAGGTCTTCCACCTGTTCATCAGCATCAGGTCTTCCACCTGTTCATCAGCATCAGGTCTTCCACCTGTTCATCAGCATCAGGTCTTCCACCAGTTCATTCAGCATCAGGTCTTTCACCAGTTCATCAGCATCAGGTCTTTCACCAGTTCAGTCAGCATCAGGTCTTCCACCAGTTCATCAGCATCAGGTCTTCCACCAGTTCATCAGCATTAGGTCTTCCACCAGTTCATCAGCATCAGGTCTTCCACTAGTTCAGTCAGCATCAGGTCTTCCGCCAGTTCATCAACATCAGGTCTTCCACCAGTTCATCAGAATCAGGTCTTCCACCAGTTCATCAGCATCAGGTCTTACACCAGTTCAGTCAGCATCAGGTCTTCCACCAGTTCATCAACATCAG